CGAGTGCCTTATGGAGTGGCTGCTGGCTGGGTGGGTTGCTGTGTGCCTCCTGCAGGGGGACCCCCCACTCCAGGGGCTACTGCGGAAGGATTGAGTTCCAGATGCTCCCCGGAGACGGCTACCCACAGCCTCAGGGCTCCCAGAACAGCGCAGGCTGCTCCTTGGGCTGGGTCGGGGCGGGCCCTGGAGGTCGGGTGGCAGCTGGTGCGAGATGATCTCGCTTCTGAATTAGGCACTCTGGGGTGAGGACTTCACTCACAGCTGGATTCTCAGCTGATTTCCCCCGAAGTGCCCAGACGGTGCCTTCACTAAGCCCGTCCGTGGCAGCGGCGCCACTTGCCCCTCCCCCGTGCTGGGTAAGCAACCCGCCTGGGTGCAGGGGTGGCCACTCTCAGGCCGGTGGGCTGTGACCGTGCCCACTTTGATCCTGGCTGCTCCTTGGGGTCACCGGTGCCAGCAGCTCTGGCTGGTGGCTGTGGCTGGTCCTCTGGGAGTCGTGTCTTCTGGAGAAGCTCCAGGCTTCTGAAATAGCTCAGCAACTAGGCTTGCGTGTTGGAAGCCCCAGTGATTTCAGTACTGGAGCGGCCATCTCCTGGATCAGCAGCGTGTCCAGCTAACTGGCTGAAGTCTCATAGTAGGAGACGAACCATCCATTCATTCGTTCAGTAAACACCTGTCCTAGGCAGGGAGCCTGTGAGGGTGGCGGACCTCGCCTCGGGGAGCTGATGGCTCAGCGGCAAGAACAGCAAAGAGGCCGGCTCCCAGAGAGGCCCTGCCTTTGCAGGGGGCTGGCACTCCACCGGGGGGCGCGTGGGCCCTGGCGCCGGCCAGACCCGGGACCGCATTTGTGATGGTCGTCTCGCTTCGTGGCTGGGTGGGTTTCTTCTGTGAGGTAGTGAGGTCGCAGGACCAGCCTCAGTTCTGAGGGTTTAAGGACAGGGGTCCTTGGGAAACACCCAGCCTGGCATCTGGCTCATAGCAGGTTCTTACAAAAGGCGGGTGTGGCGAATATTGCTGTTCTGTGGGGCTCTAGGAAACCTCGAATGAATCCTCAAGTTACAGATAGAAAAGCAGCGCTCACACCTCACAGCTCTCCCTGCTGCTTCGCGGGCGTCGGGCTCCAGGATGCGGCTGGGCCACCCAGAAGCTTCTTCCTCTCCCGGGAGGAGCCGGTGCCCTTCGTCCTCTCTGCACCTGGTGGGGAGGGTGAGGGCTGCGTTCGCAGACCAGTGGGTCCGCCTGCTGTTCTCTGCCGCCAGGTCTGGTCCTTGTGGACTTCTGAATGCCTTTGAGGTGTCTGTCAGCCACCTTGACCTTGCAGTGAATGGAAAACTTAAGGAGGCGTACACAGTGTGGAATTATTTTAGATGGGTCAGACCCCCTTAACCGGAATCTCTGAGAATCACTGTTTTCCCTAATTTATTTTGTGAGTGACTATTCTGGGCTCACGGGCAAGGGTTTGCACTGGCTCTGTTGGGAACGCGTGGCTCCTGCCATGGGGAGTCGGATTCCCCCGAGGGGTAGAAAGGCGTGAGAGCGTGTTTGTGACGTGAAAGGCTGAGACCGAGTGTTATGACAAACAATAAGGTGAGCTGTTCTTTATTGATTACCTAGTATTGGCTACTGTACCGAGCACTTCAGACACCGTCTCTTTTACCTCTTGTGCCTGTCCTGGGAGACACCCTCTCCTGACTAGTTGAGGAGCAGGCTTAGGGAGCGGAGGGACCGGGACGAACCGGTAAGGGGCGGAGCTAGAGCGCCTTATCAATGGACAGGGAGAAAGGGTCTTGGGAGGGAGCAGAGGTGGCTCCCGTTTTGGGGGTGGGGAGGAGAAGAGAGGCCTAGGGAGTGTTTGAGAAGGAGGGGCTGGGACCCGAAGGGTGGGCAGTGTTCCCAGACAGAGCCTGGGAGAGGAGCCTGGAGGACGGAGAGGACGGAGAGGCGGAGCTGCGTGGGAGTTGATGATCCATCCCATCCCTCGCTCTCCTTTGCCACCTTCTTTCCCTTAGAAGGAGCCGGTGGTTGGGTCCTTTGAGTCTCACTGTTGAGCTGGGGACACCCATGACTTCCATGTGACTTGAACGTGACCGCAGTGGGAAGTCACGTGACGGGAACGTGACTGCAGTGGCAGGGGCTACACTGCAGTTCCCTGGGGTCTGGAGTGACCGGAAGGGAAGGGGATCAGGGACTGGACAGTGGGGAAGGAGGTTTGAGCGGGGAGAGGGTGTTCAGTGGCCTGGACGTCTTTGCAGAGCTGGGAGGAGCTCGGTCAGGGCCAGGAAGCTATTCACTGGAGAGGCAGGTGGGCTGGGCTGGACATGGGGTCTCAGAGACTCCTTTGTGAGGGCGTGGCCTGGCTCTGCCGGGTGGGGACCTGGGCAGGCATCCCCGTTGGGTTGCTGGGTGGGGCTTGTAAGGGGCTACAGCAGGGAGAGGGGAAGAAGCTGCAGCCATCTGTAACCGGGGAGATGCACACCCCAAACTCCAGGGCGGTCAAGGATGGCCTGTCCCTCGGTGGGCCGTGGCCTCCTGTCAGCCGTCTGGTGAAGCCCCCTCCGTGTCCCTTCTGCTCCTGGCTGTGCCCTGATGCCCTGCCATGCTGTGTCCTCGGGTTTCACCGAGCCCGGGGACCCTGGCGTGGATGGCTCTGGGCCCCTGGGATTGTGGGCGGTGGCAGGGAGGGACAGCGTCTGAGGAGTGGGGGCGAGCAGGTCCCCTGCTCAGACTGGACGAGCCGTGACGCATGGCGAGGCGTCTTACGCGGGGTGGCCAGGGAGGGCGTCACACGCCAAGGCGTTCATGTAGGGGTCCTGCTTTAGAGAGATGGAGGGAGGGCCACGCAGAGCCACCCAGAGCCTCGTGATATGTTCCGTCCTGTCACAGCTAAGAAACTTACACGCGGCCTCCAGATGGCAGCCCTGCTTGTCCTTGTCACAGGGCCACAGTCAGGGAGCCCGGACGAGGGCACAGAGCAGGCACGTGCAGGCCACCCCGCATTGGCAGTGGAGCCTTCCCGGGCAGTAGCTTGTCAGCTGACCTGCTTGTCTGGTCATCAGCCTGTACTGGTTGAGGCCATGTCGTGTGGCGGACACTGGACTGATGATGGTGACAGCACGGGCTGTCTGCTTACTGGGTCTGATTCCCCAGAGGCGTGATATCGCAGCTCTTGGCGCCGTATTTTGCGGGGGAAGGAGACGTATGTTTTTTATTATGTTTTAATTTTTTTATTTTCTTGGCAGATAAAGCCACAGACCCAAGTGTGTCAGAACAGGACTGGTCAGCTATCCAGAACTTCTGTGACCAGGTGAACACTGATCCCAATGGGTAAGGTGACTTCCACACACGCTTGACTCTGGGACACCTCCAGCTGAGGGGGAGCCGTCTCTCTCAGAACTGTTGTAACAGCGAGGCTTTCTCTCGTTTCTCCCCTTTCACGATCCACTGACAACAATTGTTTTTCTAGAAATAGCAAATTTGTGTTTGTTTGTTTGTTTGTTTGTTTTAAATATTAGAATAGGCAGTCTGTGACGGGCAGTCGTCTGAAACAAGTTAAATAGTGCCCTAAACAGCACGTGGAGGCGACCTCCAAAGGGTTTGCAGCTTCAGGGGTGTGCTGGCCGGGACGGGGTGGGAGCAGCGGAGATGTGTGCCTTCCGCATGGCTGAGGGTGCCCTTCCCGGAGAAAAGGCGGGGGGCTGGGGTCGCTGTCGGACCTGCCTCCGGAGCGTCTGGTGGGACCGAGGCGCGAAACCATTAGTCCAGCTGTTCACTCGGCATGTTGCCGAGTATGCAGCGTTTTGAGTTGAGCGGAAAGTTCGATCGTGTTTACCAGATGTTCACCGTCCCACAGGCTGGTCCCCCCAGGCCGGCCCCCTGCTCAGTTTGCAGCTTCAGGGATGCCCTGGCCGGGACGGGGTGGGAGGGGGCTGGCTGCCTTCAGAGGCCTGTGTGTGGGCTGCGTGCCCATCACGTCCCACCTGTGTTCTGGGGCCGAGCTGGAGGGGGATCGACCCGGCCCGGTGGGCTCGGCACGTGGGCGAGTTCCTCGTCTCCACCCAGAGTGCAGCCGTCTTTGCTCCCTGCAGCCCGACCCACGCGCCCTGGCTGCTGGCCCACAAGATCCAGTCTCCGCAAGAGAGGGAAGCTCTCCACGCCCTGACGGTGAGCTTGCCCCGCGCCTCAGGCCCGTTTCGGCACGGTGGGGTGCCTGCGGTTCCTGCTTGCTGCCCACGAGCAAGCAGGCTGCGGGGAGCCTGGGCTCCGATGCCCGCCTCGATCTTCCTGGAGGGCAGCCCCGAGCCCGCTGTGGGGAAGGCAGGTGCCGGTACTGTGCCTTTCGGCCTTCGTGGACCAGGGCTGGCGAGGTCAGGACCCAGGGGCCAGACCAGTGACAAAGGAGCAGCCCTGGGTGAGGCCCGGAGCCCTGCGGCACACACGCCCGGTCTGGGGCGCCAGCTGCTGTTGCCAGACGTGAGTCTGAGCCCTTCGTTGCAGGAAGCTCCTGCTTTGGAAGAGAAACTATAAGTCTAGACCTTCACTCGAATTCTCTGGATCAGTATTGGTGATTAATTTGAAAGGTGAAACAGCGTGGGCCGTGTGGGTACACGTGCCCCTTGTGTGCCAGCGCGAGGCTGTGGCTTAGCAGGCTTGGGCCTCGCCTGTCACGTGTTGTCTCTGTCATGTGCCCGAGTCTCCTTAAAAGATGGGGTCATCTTAGGAGACACATCCCACTGAACTATTTCCTGGGCACAGACCTGTCACAGCAAGAACAAACACATGTTTTTTTTCTTAATCTGAAAACGTCACCACTCTCAAACTCAGCGCCCTCACAGTCTGAGAAAACGCTTCCCCGGTTCCGGGGGTGCCGCCAGGCCTGGGGTGCTGCTGGAGCCAGCGGCTGCCCCGTACCGCGTTCCCTGGTTCTGGGGGTGCCGCCAGGCCTGGGGTGCTGCTAGAGCCAGTGGCTGCCCTGTACCGCGGCCCTGTGTCCGCAGGTGCTGGAGACGTGTGTGACCCACTGCGGAGAGAAGTTCCACAGTGAGGTGGCCAAGTTCCGCTTCCTGAATGAGCTGATCAAAGTGCTGTCCCCAAAGGTGAGTGTCCTGGGCCTGACCGCCCGCCCCGGCCCTCTCGCTCCTGCCGCCCGGCTCTGC